ACTGGGAGTTTATGCTGATATTCCCTATTTGCATTAGGATAAAAGAAGTGAGTATAACCACTCGAACAATTTCTTAATGATTCAAAAATAACGTTAATTCAATGCTCGTGAACTCCAACTGGGATAGAACAAGTTAATGATGTTCAGGGATAGATACATATTTTTGCACAATCGGGGTGGTACACGATAGTGCAATCATAGGATTTGGTTTAGTTCTTCCATTGTCGCTATCAGAACTTTAGCTCTTCCGAACAGAAAGTGTATGTGAGAAGTCTAAAGTTGGTAAAGGTTCTAGACACTTTTCTCCACAGAGAAGTGTCATCCAGTTTCTGAGTGAAAATTATAATTGTTGACTCTAGGTCCTATGTATGATGACTCATTTCAAACGGTTCTAACAGTTGGAAAATATAAACGATACTCCATCATGCTGCCTTTGCACAGTCAGATCATCCAACGAACATGTCACCATGGATCCCCAAAATGATCAATGTCATCGAAAGGTGTAAAACAAGGGTAAGGTGAGACAACACTTCGGTTGTCAGAGACTTTACTCATATTCAACATCACAACTGGACTAACTTTCTTCGATCAATAAGTGAGGAAAAACACTATGGCTGAAAGATGGTTAACAAATTGTCGATAAAATTGACAAAATCAAAGATATCTCGAAATTCACAATATTTTGTGAGAATTTCAACTTTCTTCCGCTACCAGCTTTTGGGAACTTGACAAAAGGATCATCTGTTTAGATCACGTCTCCCAAGAAGTACCAAGCTAACCTTTGCGAAACGTGGTAATAAGTTAATTGTTGGTATTTAGGGAATTTAATCTCGTAACTGGTATAGGTGAGAAAGTCGTCTGTAAGATTACTATGAATTAGTTAGGCTATGGAAGAAAACTAAGGCTAAAAAAGTTTATCGAAAAAGGCCAACAATTCAAAGTATGGGTTAACGATTTTAATCATTACCCGATTGAGTTGCTAAAATCTAGGTACGATCCTAAAGTTTGGCATTTTGCCTTCACTGATAGGTTTAGGGTTCCCTAGGTAAAATGTTTGGTTGGGTAATCCCCTAATCGGTAAGCTTTAGTAACTAAGTTCCTTCAATGTGTAGGATTTGTTCAAAAGATACAAGGAAGATTGGTGTACTTCATTTCACCGTTTGGTGGTATCTCAGGTAAAGTTTGAGGTTTGACGCCAAAGATATACGTCCTCGAAATATAACACACTACTGTGTTCCACTACGCCACATGCTAATAGGTCTTCACAGCTTTCTCGATACTCATTTCACTCTAACAATGAGGAATTAACTCATACTTTGATTCTTATGTCCACCTGTAGAAATGATCGAAAAGGTGACTAGTCGGAGAGATTTTGTTTACCTAGATAGGTGATAAGGTATAAACAACTATGAGTTTACTTTTCTAATACAAAACTTGCTCCTCACTTCCCATGATTTAGTTTCTTCGGCTTAAGTAGTCACTGTTAATCAGTCTATCAGTCGTATCGCTAATTAATGCATATACAATATTTTTATATTGTTCGCTACCCTGAAAATGTGAACCAGCGTTCTAACATAGAGGTATCACTCTGTTGACCCTAAAAACTACCAAGACTACGTGGCGCACAGGCTAAGTAACTAATGAGCTAACTACGTCATTCGGTTGATGCGAAGCGTGCCAACTCGTCAGCTGAGCTCGGCCGAGGAGTAAAATGCGTTGATGTTGTGTTGAGCGCGCGATTGACTTCTCGATCTTGAGACTGCGGCCGAGGAAGGAACACGTCCCGGCCTTTGGGTTCTATAGCTTGAAGACATGGTTGCTAATTTTGTGAAGTTCACAAATCGTCGGCGCTAGATTCAATCACAGTGATTATATTTGTAAGGGTATAAACACGTCAAATCGACAACAGAGTATAGGGGCATAAATACTCAAAACAGATAGATGTCTTGATGGTAAATGTGGTTCGGCCATCAGAATGCCTAACTCTAAAGCTTACTTATGAGTATCCAATCATAAAACAACTCGGCGTTCAATGTGCCGAGCCCTAGTATACTGTAACACCTCACCTCGCTGAAAAGGCTAATGAGATGACCTCTGCCAATAATGACCCGAAAGTTTCTCTCAACTAGGACTTAGATAGATAGCCAGTCGGCCTTGACGCATTGTTGTTTATCAAAACTGAAGGTGTTCCGCGATCGACTGGTTCTATGGTGATAATGTTGTTTATCCAAACTGAAGATATCACTGGTTGCCTTCACAGTGCTGTTTATCCAAACTGAAGATGTGTTGGCGGAAAAAGAAAATAAAAATCTCAAGATTGTTAGAGTTTGCGCAGGGCAATTTGTGTGTTGAATTGGAGAGAGCTTCTTCCATTGCCACTGCCTCTGTATTTATAGGGACATATGCGCGTTGGTTGATAGACTTTTGCCATGTATTAGAACTCTTCCACTGATTGCGTCAGATAAGCCTTACTATTCATAAGACTCTGAACTTAGTCAAAAATGTAACCCAATTCAATCCTTGTGCTCAGCCTTATCACATCAAATCCTAAGATAACCTGCATACTTGGATTTGATCAAATAATGCCCATCAAAATAACCACCAATCCACTTACACCGCTATGGTTGGTTGCTTTGTGGAGATAATAATCACAAACTTGTGGTACATAATTACATGGGAAATAGTCTCCCAACCTTCCACATATATGCATGTGCTGACTTAAAGAATTGCAAATGAATTGCAATTCTTCTACTGGTTATATAATATTATCCCATGCAGAGAAGGGCTAAAATATATTAAAAGATAGTGCCATGATTAAAACCACAATATATCTTTCAATAATAGCAAAATTATCTTCACTTTTCATACGACGGTTGAGAACTATACTTACTCAATAGCCTTGATTACACGAGCCAATGGTGTAAATTTGGGTCTAAACATACTCCCAGATACTAGCATTTGTCCGGTATCAGAAATCATACCACTTAAATATTGGTTACAAGTTCCAAGATATCAAACAATATCGTCAATTAGTAGCGCTACTATAGACGGATTATAGGTTATAACCCACTCAAATGGCTAGTTTAAGATAATTGGTAAGGAATTGGTCCTGTAAAGTGGTTTCAGTAACTATAAGAGAAAAATACTTACTACTTCGAGGAATTCTATTGACCATAGATATAACAATTCATACTCATGTGCCTATGCTCATCAAATTAACGAGTATAGCACCAAAAGAAATTTGGGAAACTAGTATTCGTTGGTACGTCCTAAGGCTGGAAAAGGAATTTGTTAATGATCTACTTTAGGACAGCTTAAACGTAAGTCGATCTTCATCCTGAAGATCCGGAATGATCCTTAATGCGTTTGAAGAGATTAGTGCAATTGGGGACCAAAAGTGGCTGTTCCCCAAATGTTCTCCTGTCAAGTGCTACCACTTAGCACCAAGTTGTCGTTCAAGACAAATTTTGGAATCTTTACGAAGTCAACTTCGTAGGAATTCAAATAGATGGTATATTAACAGGTACTGCCAAGGAATCAAAACCATTTCTAGTTTCATAACTCGGAAAGGTTGGTAAAAATGATTAGATGGCAGTAAAATTGGTAGGTAAATCCCCCATGATGCACAACCATCGATATGGTAGCTCTGCCTCAAGGCCATCAACTTGTCTCAAATCTACATCTTGCCTTAGCAGGGAAAATCTTCATTAAAGTTTAGAGGCAGTCACCAAAGCGATGTTATAGAATGTCGATAAGTCATATAAATCACCCAAAACTTAAGAAAAGCTAATACATTTTCCGTAGTCGACGAGGTGGCAAAATTCAACATTTAGGCTCAAGTAACGAGAATGCTTACATCACGCGTGTGATGAATGCAATACTACCCAACTTATGCTCTGATACCAAATTGACACATGCCGACCCGGAATGTCCACTAGGACTCCGAATCGAGTTGTGCTGGCCAACACTTGGAAGGTGACGAAGCCATAAAGTATAGTGATGTGGAAAATGTGAATAAATTTAAACCTAATAATGTCTAAAGACAAGAGTGCGCCATGAGCGGGAATAAACTCATTTCACACGCAACGTCAGAGCATAAATATAGTACAGTAGTGCGGGTAAGGATCATACCCTCAGAGGTAGCCACCTATACTGAGATTCACCAAGAATCCTCGTCGATAAGAACTTTCAACAGCTAAACCTGGAGGGGCGAAAAACAAGGGTGAGTGGGCAAAAAAAAAAATGTGAAAACATATTTATCTTTATAAACATAATAACCCCTCTCCGTAAACCCGTATAGTTTCCCGAAAATAATAATACATACGTATATAGAAATGATGCTCGAAAGTAGTGAAAACTAAGTATATGCCATGTCAAGTATCTTAACAATGAAATAAGTAAGTCAGGTGAAATAAATCAATATAAAATGATATGTCAGCTGGAGTCACCTAACGTGACATGTACGACTGAGCCTATAGCTCATCTACCAATTCATGCCCATGAGTCGGAACCACCTAATGTGGTCTGCACGACAGGCTGGGTATAAATAGATACACTCAAGTGCTACGATCACGTGAAGGCTGTGCGAAGTATCGCAAGTCACCTACAAGTCGGAACCACCTAATGTGGTCTGTACAATAGGCTGGTACCTACCTTGGATCCAAGGTGAGCGTGTGGTGCGGGAGGTGAACGATCACATGAAGGCTAGGCCCTGGCCTCGGGCGAAGCACTAACACCGGGGTGCAGGATAATAAGTACTAAATGCATCTAAACATAACCATACCCACTGCAATCACTGTCATCAATATAAACTCACCTGAAGCTTACCTGGGCATCTGCAACGTCATGCAATAATATGCGTATCTATACTAACGCATATGCTAAAATGTAATGCAATTGATATGGCATTTAAAAAAAACGTAAATCCATTTAAAACAATTTCTAGAAAATGTAAAGCATATATACGTATATATATAGAAAACCAAAAAAAACCCACTCACAGAACATGACGTTGGGTCGAACCCGCCTTACGGCTTCAAAGATCCTTGCAATGCATTTCACCTAGAAACAAAACCATTATTTCATGTTTTTCCCTTAACTTTAGGAGCTCATTTCAAGCTTAATTTTCAACCAAATTCAATGATTCAAAAGTCAACTAGAAGTTAGAAATGTGGGAAACATGTTTGTACCAGTTTGAAATCAAATAATGGCCGGAGTTGACCAGGAAAATGGTTTGAAAGTGGCCAAATGGCCACGGGTCCAAGTTTTCCAGAATCTGGGAAATTTTGTCCCAACGTTTAGAGCTAATTTCTAGCTCGATTCTCAATCAAATTCGATGATTCAAGAGCCATATTAAAGATATATATGTAGAGAATAAGTCCATACCAAATTGAAGTCGAGTTTATGTCGGCGTTGGCCAGAAAAATGGCCTAAAGATGGCCAAATGGTCACGGCCAAAATTTCCAGAATCTAAAATATTTCAACCCAAATTTTAAGGCTAATTTCTAGTTCACTACTTAACCAAACTCAATGATTCAAAAACTAACTTGAAGCTAGAAATGTAGTGAACAAGGCTATACCAATTTCGAGGACCAACCATTACCGAGATGGCAGGAAAAATCCTCTAAAATGGGCTAAATAGTCACGGTCCAAGCTTCCAAAATTTCTGGGGAAGTCCTCCCTTTGTCCCCGCAGCTTCTAAACCCTATCCAAAACAAGTCTAAGCCCTGAGATCGTTCACTAGAAATGAAAAATAATAAGGGAGAGAGAGATCCTAATGCCTACCTTGGTCGGGTTTCATTGAAGTCGCCAGAATCTTAACTTTTAAAGCTGAATTCCTTTTGAGCTCTAAGGGACAATTCTCATAACCCAAACTTGGAGTTAAGTTGATAAAGGTGTGATGATGGTAGCATGGTGGTGTAAAGGTCTGGGTCTTGTATGTATGGAAGCTGTCATGTGTGGTGGTGTCTCGGTGGTGACTAATCCAAAGAGAGAGTGAGTTTGAAATGAGAGGTGAGGGCAATGAGAGTTAAAAGAGAGGGAGAGATCCAGGGATAGGGAACTCAGGAAAATGGGGGAGAATGGGTTAATGCGGTGGTTCCTGGCCTGTATTTTTGGCATCTCTGTTTACAAAAAAGAAGAAGATAATGAGGGAGAGAGAGATAAGAAGGTTCTCAAATGAGAGACCACGGGAGGGAAAAGACAAAGGGCATCAGAAATGGGGTGGTGCCACGTGTCAGTCATGTAGTGGTCTAAAGTGGAGAAATATCTCCATTTGTGAACTTACCAAGATACCATTACATTTTGAATTCCATAATATTCCCGTTTTTGCTCCAAATTCAATTTCACTTGTGCCCACACGTTCGTAACATTAAGTACTACACAAATGCGCTAAAAGAATGAGTCATACGTCTCTCTAACCGATGGTCAACGCAAGTCAAAATCTTTGCCTTAAGGGCATTTTCGTAAAATCACTAACTTAAAGTTTATCAAACTTAAAATTAAGGACGGATTGTCACATAAAGTCCACAAAATCTTATTTAAAAAAAAAAAAAGCAACCCTCCTCAACTTCAATCCTCCCTCGTGCGCAACACATCAACCTTCCACTGTCGGAAACTTTGCTTGAAAAACCCATCCACATAAATCCGTTGTTTCTCTTCGGTTTCATCAACATCCTAATGAACCTACATTAATATCAATAACAATAAATTAGTAATTTAAAAATATTATGTTTTAACAAAAATAATTGTTCATTATTTACTACAAACTTACCGATAACTCCATCAGCATGAACTTTTTCAACTCCTCAGGGACCTTTTTTCAAGACTCAAACTTAGCAGAACAATCCCTCTGCACCAAATTCTCAATGTCGTACCAAAATTTGGCATACGCCTTAGCCATATTTTTGCCTTCAAAGTACAGCACTTGCTTCCTTTGATACCTCTCTGATAGCACTACCAGTTTCTTTTTGCCAGAACCTTCACCAGAATCGGCCATTCTTTTTTAAACAATTTTTTTTTTTAAACTAGGGTTCTGAAACTGTGTTTATATAGCACTAGGATACCTTTGCTCGCACAAAGCTACATGTTCGTCACGCAAAATGCATAAATGCACAATAAATGGGAAGGTTTGAACACAATCTGACCCTGCATTGTGTGACAAACATCTGTTATTCATCACGCAAAGTAATCTTACGTGGCGAACATGGTGTCCCACAATATATTTAACGACGAATGGAATGATTATAATTATAAAGTTTACGTAACCATATATAACTATGTTTACGTAAACTGTATAATTACAAACAAATATTCAGTTAAATATTTTTCTAAAAATATTTAATACCTTAAATATTTATTCTAAAAATAATTAATACTTTAAATATTTATTCCATAAATAATTAATACCTTAAATATTTATTCTATAAATAATTAATGCCTTAATCCATACAATTATTTTGAGCATAAGTACGATATTCATTGAAGATTGAAAACACATACAAACCGAGGATAAGGTGATTACATTAGGCCTCAATAAAAAAAAACCAAACAGGAATTAAAACATAATTAATCCAAATACATAACTTATAAAAAAAACCTTAAATTTAAATATTATCATACAAAACATAAATTTAAAACTACTATTTCGATGGTGCTGGTACATTCCTCCATCAACTTCATCAACTATTAGTTCGTATCATCATCAAGAGTATACTTACACTGTTAGACATATATGCATATAATTAATTCCAACATATAACTAAAAATTTCACAAACTTAATTATTAATCCATCAACAATATACTTACTAATAATAGTTCATCCATCATAGCCTTCTTCACATTCTCGAGCACATCATTCCAAGAACGCCACTCAGCAACGGAACAATTTACCCCATGGCGATAGCAATTGCATGTGCGAACTCAAAATGTTGCCTCAAATCATTCGGGTTGACGGCGGGCACACTCTAATCCTTATTTTTATCCTCCATATGTTCTTGAAGAATAAGAAGAACAAAATTGTGAAGAATAAGGACAACAGAAGCGTATATTTATAGGAAGGTTAGGGCCTTTGCGTGACGAAGACTTTGTCGCGCAAACATCTGTATTAAATGCGGTATTGACTTCGATTCACCTGTAGTGAATAGTCTAAACTGACAGGAACTTGCATGACGAACCCTTGGTCGCTAAATTGTCCCCTATTCGTCACGCAAGTTTTTCGCACCAAAAAAAAAAATTACCGTGTGTTTTCTTGCTGACTGCGCAAATTTTTTTTTCCTATCTTGTCTATTTTCTGCGACGAAACATTTTTTCCGTCCTGCAAGTACGTCTTGTGCTACGAAATATTGTTCGTCGCGCAAACTATTTTTTCTACTAATGACATATGCAAACTCAAACATTTAAAAAGTTTATATTACGAGTGCAATTATATATTTCTTGTTTAATGTTAGCAATATCATAAATGTGAGCATTTTTCATCAGGCAAGAGGTGGCTTACTGAAGAGCATCAATTGCGACCTTAAACCTTGGACGATATAGCACCATAGTAGAAAATGGGAGCGGCAATAACACCATAGTAGTACAATAAAAAATGAAAACTTAACATCATATTATTATCAAGCATAAAGTAAGTTTGATTAAGCATCGGAAGTTCACCATACATAGATTCTTAGAGGCCAGGACAATGGTTCATCCAACCTTGTAATGAACATTTCAAACCACCTCTTTAGTCCCTTAATAAAATGCAAATCAAAATGAATGAAGAAGGTACAATAAGTTACACAATAATAATTAGTAGCAGTTCAAATCTGGGATTAATTAGTAGCCCTCAAGTACTGAGAGGTTCGCTTTTAGTCTCTTATGTAATAGCTGACTAAAGTACTTAGTTATTTTCATCCAATCGAGGTATTCAAACATTTGATTAAACCACAAACTACAGAGCTTTATTTGAGTTTACACAAACATGAGAAATCTAACAAAAAGGATTCTTTCAATAAAACATGTAGTGTCAATGTAACATAATTAAGATTAAGAGATGACCGATGCCATACAACAACTGTTTTCAGCATAAGAACTCCATGTGCAAGTCTCGCATTTTCTGTGTTGAAATTGAATCCAAGTCCAATTGCACTTCAGGACAAGATCCTAAAATGCAACATACAATAAATTTAAACCACTACCACTGTTCAGAACCAAATGATACTAGCATAGTAATATCTACATGGTTACCTGCTGAATGTGAAGCAAGTTGCCAAAAAGACTTGCTTCTTGGACAACATTGGAAGGTTTCTTTGCCCATGGTAGGTTTCTTAGCTCTAACTCACTTTAGAAAGCACATACATCACTAAATGAAAAGTACCATTAACATCAGTGCTAACAAACACGAGCAAATAAAAAATATGAAGCCATTTTCTAACCCTGTTTGACAACCTATTCAATTCCCTTCAACTGGTACATTTGAAAAATTACAGAACCAAGCATTGACCCTGCACCATAAAAATCTTTCAAACATACCCAAATTAAACAATTACAAGAACCAAACATTGACCATGCACATAAAAATCTCGTTGCTTCTAAGACAATTTAAACCCAAGTGAAATATTAAAACATAAAACAAGAAATCATTCAAGGCAACCCCAAAATCTAAATGGAATGGAAATCAATATCAAACCAATATCACACAAAATGGCATCTAGTTAATTAAAAATTATATTAAATAAAAAGAAAATAACTAAACCGCTATACACTTGGTGCGTTGCGGGTTTGTGATGAGGAATTGAACAGACGGGCCGAAGGAGAGAGAGCCGGAGCGGATCGAAGCTGAAGGAGGGGGCTGCGAGAGAAACAACTCGGTATTTGTGGAGATTTGGGGTTTTCGTGTTTAACCAGATGATCTAGAATAGGAGCGCAGATTCAAGACGACAGAGCGAGAGAGAAGAGGTGGCAACAGATATGTGAGAAACGAGAGAGAAGGAGCAGCGTGATAGAAGAGTGTTATCCCGGCACTAATTTTTTAATTAATTAGGTTTAGGAATTTGAAGATTAGCAATTTTAATTCTAATCGGCAATTGTTCAAAAAAATTCTAAACGGCAAAATATTCTTTTTGTTGCCCGCTTAATTAAAGAAAACGCGCGACTTAAAAATAGTAATTTTCAAGAAGGCGGGAAAACTCCCACCAAATTCTTACCCAACACAAATCAAGTTTGTCAGCTAACAACTTCTTCGCCGACAAAATATTTTGTTGGCTCTAACCTTTGGTCGTTGGGAGATGTCCTTGCCAAAACCTTAACCCTGGCGCACGTATTTAGTGGACAAACCCAAAAATTTGTCGGGTAAAAACTTTTTGACCGACAAAATAAATTTTGTGGGCTCAAAATTCGTTGGCAAAATTAGATTTTCTAGTAGTGAGGCGCCTAGACCATATAAACATCCACCTAGCCCGCCTAGACCGCTTGAACCCGTCTAGGCGCCCAGTGGCGAAGCTACGTGAGGACGAGGAGTAGCGGCCGCCCCTCCCTTTGCCGGAAAACATGCCTCGGAGAGCTAGTTCAGCCCCTCTGCTCTCGTCGAAAATGAGAATTTCCGCTCCAGTGATTTGGTTTATGCTGCTACGCAACAAAGATGGATTTGTTTTTTTCCTCTTTTTTATTAGATTTTGGAGAAGGAAATCTGAAAAACAATGAAGTTGCAGACCGACGGAACTTGCGAAGAAGATGAAGGTGTGTTTGATATTCCCTATACCAAACGGTGTCGTTTGGCAATGGTGACCCTTTTTTTATATTTTTCTCTCTTAAAAGTTAAAACTAATTGTACTGACACATTTGTTTACATTTTTCTCTCTTAAAAGTTAATACTGATTGTACTGACACACCATTCTCCTTCGGTCATTTCTGCCCCACTTTGTTTTCCCATTTCCCCCTCCTTTTTTTTTCTATTCTGACCGCACCTTTGTTTTGGTTTGTTAATCAATTTCTTTCTCTTTTTTATTTTATTTTTTATTTTTTATTATCATTCTTGTATGTATTTTCCCTCTTTTGAATACCTCAACATATGTATTTTAAACTCTCACATTATCTATAAATATTGTATTAATTTAAAAAAAAAAACAATGTAAATATTGTTTAATGCTTATTTTACAATAAAAGAAATTCATTTAAATCCATCTAGGCTCCTACCTAAATCTCGCTTAGGAGCCTAGTTGCAGGCTCCAGTCCGCTGCCTGACTAGTGCTTAACGTTTTTTTAGAATCTAATCCTAACTAATTTAAGCTTCTTACATGGCTTTAATATTACCGCTTACAACTGCTTTGGTGAAGATATGGTTTGCTGTTATGAATATTGATTCAAAATTTTACACTCTCCAATATGAAAGCAACCACTTCAATTGAACCTTGCACTCTTTAGAATTTCGCCCCTCCCTTCCGTAAATCCTGGCTTCGCCACTGGCGCCCACCTAGACTACCTGGACCTGTTCAGACACCTACTTAGGTCGTAACTCCCACTTAGACAGAAAATCGATAACTTTCATTTTGCATTTTTTTTAATAAAATGTAATAGACTTGTTGAATACTTGGATGAATATTCATTATATGCTTGTTCCCCACGTTATCAATATGTTCTAATACCTATAATTTATATATCATTTTATTTTGCAATTTTTGTATTCCAACACAATTACGTATTTTTAAGTAGGTACTTATTTATATGATCTATATAAAGTTACTTATCCACCTAGGGGGTGTTTGTTTCACCTCCTTAGGAGGGACTGAACTGGACTGGACTGGACTGGACTACAGTCGCATGTTTGATAGGTGCTGGAACTAAGTTAAGTGGAACTAAAGGGGACTCGATTGGACTAGAGGCCTCCTTAAAGGTTCTTAGCGAAGTCCTCCCCAAAACATAAGACTTGCTAAGACTGTCTTCTTCCTCCTCCTAGCGAGCCCCTTTGTGAGTTCTGGGCTTCTTCCTTTGCTCCTATGTTTTCACAAATGCCGAGAGCCACCATCATTCCCCCTCGCCAATTCCCCCTTCCCCTCCTCCTCTCTCCTCGCTTTCTTCTCTTTCTGCTTCGCCGAGATCCGAGCTCAGCTCGAACTCGACCTCGACATCGACAGTTGCTCTATCTTGCTGGTACTGTAGTTCTGCTACGATGGCGGCGACTCAATAGCAGTCGGCTTCTCCTACGCAGAAGATATTCTAAGCACGTTCAAGAATCGTTGTAGGCCGATTTTGCTGTTCCACAAACTTGCGCCTCCGATTGAATCCACAGACTTGGAAAGCTCTCACCAGTTGGAATCTTGCATCGAAGAAAAACCAGAAAAATCAAGCTTGATTCTTCGTTTTGCAGAATTTTTTTTGGCAATTAATCAGAAAAAATAAGAAAGGGAAGGAGAGTGTGGGACGGAGAGAATGAGGAATAAAAAGATGAAGGCTTCCAGAGAGAGGGAGAGTATTATTAGAAAGAAAAAAAGATAGAATTAATTAATATAATATTATTAGATATGAATTAAAAATATAAAATATTGTAGCTTGTTATTTTCCTTCTTTTAAGTCAGTCCAGCTTAGTTCCTGAAGCTAATCCAGTCCGAGATAGTCTGGTGCAACAAACACACCCCTAGTCTTCCTATGCACCTGTCTAGATCATGCCTAGCCGTCTAGGCCCTAGCCTATCACCCGACTAGCGCTTTGCGTCTTTAGAACCTTGCTTGTACATATTAACAGAGAGTATTGTACATGTTAGCATACATGTGTGTTATATTCCTATCTTGTACATGTTAGCTAAGTAGTTATCTTAGTCATTAAGATTGACAGCTGTTAAATAGTTGCACATCTGTGTAATTTGTAACTACTCATTTTACTGAAGAATACATCAGCTTGTTCTACAAGATTCTCTCTTTCTTTTCTATGCTTCCTTTCATTTTCTTCAGTTCTCCATTTTCTTCGATTTTCACTATAAACATGTGTGTGATTCCACCATAGTTACAATATTGGAGTGTGACAGGAAAAACTCAAAAAACAATTGGAGAGTTACTCGAAAAAAAAAAAAAAAAACAACAGCAACAACAAAAGGAATACTATAAATCTTTATCCCCAAAATTGGAAGTGTGAAGCACTGGAGCCAGAATGTTCACATATATTAATTAGATCCACCACCGTGACCTAGCGTTTTTGTTTGATTACTGATTTTTTTTTTCTTTCCATTTTAATACAAGTGATATTTCTCTTCTAAACTAGGCTAAGAGAATAGAACTCAGAACGTAGTGGATTAAATAATAAGAACACATACACCAGAGTAATCCACTACTTGCAAATAAAATCCTGCACTTACTAAAAAATGTCATTTTGCCAACAAAGTCTAAGCAGACAAAGCAAAATTTTGTCAGTACAAAAATCTTTCCCCGACAAAATATCCGAATTGTCGGCTAGAAACTAATGGGTTTAAGCTGACAAATAAAATGTCGCAAAAAATAAGTTTACCCGACGAAGCATCTATTTGTCAAGAAAATCGTCGGCATGATCTATTAAAAAAAGGCGCGTTACCGCGAAAAACGAAAAAAAAGAAAACTTTTCGTATTTAGAGGTTATCGGCAATCGCACCCCAATGAACAAAAAACTAATCTAAACGATGAAGGATAAAAATCTTGCCGCACCCTAGATTTGGATCTCAACGCTATCTCCCTTCTCAGTTGCTCTTCTTGGATTGAACATCCTAGCAGCTATTCTTGTCTATTCTCCACCATATCAGTTGCTCTATGTTGCTAGTGTAGTTCCTCTATCGGTTCCTCGTACGATTCTCTCTCTTATCAAAAACCCAAATCCAAATCCAGCGATCAACACTCAGATCGTTGTAAGTTTATAACCTTTCTCTTGTTTGAAATTTCAATTTTCAAGGTTCGATCTATCTATATTTGCTTAATATGTAATTTGGGGTTTTTTCCTTTTCTTTCACGGAACCCCTATCAGAGGAACGCTCTTCCTTTCATATCTCTCTGCAATCTCTAGGTATCTTCTCAATTTCTCTTTCAATTGATGCTATAATATTTATTAAAATTATTAGATTTAGGGGTTGGGTAAGTTAATTTTACGGATTTTGATTGTGGTTTGAGTTCTGATTTTGTTTTAGATAGATAGGACTAGATTGTAGTTTAGGGTTTTTTATTTTATTTTATTTATATTTTCTTTTGTATATTCACTGCACATTGCAAAATTCTGGTACTATTTGGGGGTTTTGGTGTTGCAAAGACTGAAGCTCGAAGAAACATGGTATGTGTACTGACAAATGGTTGTATAGAAGTGAGTTTGTAAAACTTCATAAGAATCTTTATAGAAATTTAAAGGCATCAAAAGCCAAAACTGAAGCTCAAAGAAATAGGCTTAAGTATGTCAAGGCATTTAAAAGTGGGCAGAAATTGATTGAAGATCCAAGAGAAGTTTGGAAGTGGTCTCTCATTTTTGTACAGTTACAATTGAAAAGGTACCTATGTTCTTTTTCATGATAAGATACAATCCTTTTTGTTTCTTGGTAGGTACAGCAATGTGGACTTTGAAAAATGTTAATCATATTTTCCACTATTTTGAAACAGAATTTTATTTTACAAGTAACTAGGTGACTTGTATCTTTTTGGTGGAACATAGGTTTTGATAGTTTGATGAGCTAGAAGGCATCATGTTTGGATTGCCATTTTTCAGTCATAAGTGGGCATCGGGCAGTTCTATCTCTATTGGTATGATGAGCTGAGGTTATTCTTTCTGTTTTTCACCCTATGTTCAACATTTGTTTTGGTTTCCAATGACTACATAATCAGTGTGTATATGATGAATATTGTAGACCCCGGAAGCAAATAAGAGTCCTCCCACAGAGGTATTCCTTTCTTACTTTCTTTATCCCTTTATTTTCTTTCCTCTTGTAAATTGTGTGGGTTTTCTTTATCTTTGAATTTGTTAATTATTCATGACTTGTGTGAGAGGTACAAATACTGCATATATTGTATATTTTGTCCCTCTGTTGTGCAGAACACACTTAGCGAGGAGCTTTCTGCAGGTAAGTTTGACTGTGCTGGGAATATATTGTATATTTTGTTTTTCTCTGCCTTGTTTTTATTCTAAATACATGGATAAGTAGTATGTCGCATACTAGACATGAGCAATGAGCATTGTTCAAGTACTTTGATTCCCCAACAAGTTACAAATTGTCGTCATTAACACAATTTGGTAAAGTTGTGAGCTTTCTGCAGGTAATGTTGATTGCAAGGTTTAGATGAACCGTTGTCTTGGCCTCTAAGAATATATGAATGGTATTAATCAAAACTTACTATATGCTTGATTACATGAGTCCATGCTTTATCATCCAAGTTACAAGTCAAATTCAAGTTTGTTTCAAGTCTGATTGCATAATTACATGAGTACGTGCTTTCTTGTTGACATAGTGGTTAAGTTTTTTCACTGTTTATTGTAATAGTATGGTTTTACTGTAGCCCTTCCTCATTTTCTACTCCTAACAGAGTGTTGTGTGAATCGTAAACAGTAAAAACTACATATTATTACTTGTAAAATGATTAATGGCTACAATTTGATTATTTCGGTATTAAGGTTGCTTTTTCTTATGTTGTCATACATAATAATTACCATTTATATTATTTTTGCCGGATATTATTATACAATGCTATTGCTAGACTGATACTGAAGAATGAGAGTAGAATAGGATTATTGTATAATATATACTTTTGTATAACCACTGTACATGTACATATTACTAATCAAAGAAGCATTATTAAAAAAAAAATGTGTGTTCAAGCTTCTGTTAATTTTTTTTTATATAAATTAAAATTCTCTCCCGACAAAGCTAGTTTTGTCGGTAGAGAAAGACTATGCCGACAAAATATCTTTGCTGACAAACACGTCATGTTGGCTAAAAGGTACATTTTGTAGGCTTAAAAATCCTTTTTTGACGGAATTTTTTCTCAGGGTTTAAGAATGGCTACAAAATATGTTTTGTCAGGAAAGAACCACTTCATAGGCGACGAAATGTTAAAATTTGTCAGCTAGAGTTTTACGCAACATGCTGCGCGACAAAATCGCCGACAAATTTTTTTGTCGGGAAAGAACTTTTGCCGACAAATTTTGACTTTTGCCGACTAACTAATTTTGTCGGTAAAGTCGAAATTTGTAGTAGTATTTGCTGGGAAATTCAGTACTGACTATGTGGTTTGTTGTTGTTGCACCACAAAGATTGAAGATCTGCACCTGAAGTCGTCCGAGGCAAGCATGTCCCCAATAATACCAAGCTCCGGGAATTCACTCCATTCATCAAGCCCTGAAGTTTGAGGACTTTCCCAATGTTTTCTTCTTCCAACAACGAAAAGGTCATATTCGTTCAAAATACTCCGAAGTATTGCCACTGTTTCGGGTCCATTTTTTGCAATCTTCTCTACATAAAATGCTGATCCGCAAGCATGAACATAGCCTTCCCTATACTCTCTTAAGCTCTGCAAATCAACTATCCTATCCCAGTTAGTGGCCTCACAGTCCCTCGAGGTTGTGAAATAAAAGACGGTCAGGCTGATGCTTGGATCCGCTGCCATCCTTAGTGTTAAGGCTAATGCCTCCCTATCGTCTTCGCCTCCCAAGAAGATCAAGGCGACTTTGTATTGTACTGCTTCTGATGATGAGTTTTTTTCCAGTCCTAATTGTCTTAGAGGTCCACGGTTGATAAGAATCCCAACAGAACATGGTGCTTTTTCGAGAACACTGATATTTAAAGACCTTATAGCCCTATCGTCGGACTTGATAGAGCCATCAAGAGTCCAATGTCGATGGAAGGGGAGTATTATGAGAGACGTGGCTCGGTCAAGTGCAAGGGTGCATGTATCCTCATGCATTGATTTGGTTGGAGAAATGGCTGTGAAAGGTTGTACGGTCACTGCTTCACTGAAGTCCCGCTCGAACTGAAGGAAAGAAAGAAGCATGTCCTCCGAGTACGAGCAATTGGAGAGTGTCTTGGTTTGCATTCTGTGGGAAATGAAGATAGGGGCAGCTTGGCCAAACATCTCAATGAGGTGAAGGACATAAAGGGAAATGGGGCTCTCTTTAGTTGGACAGCAGGCATCCAAAAAATTGATGACGGCTGAAATGTTGTTTTGCTTGTGAATGCATGCAAGTATGCGGAGCTCTGAGTTGGGTTTCAAACACGCTACGTTTCTTTGCTCATATCCTCCATACTTCTTTGAGGATATGTTGAAGTGTTTCAAAAGCAATGACACAACGCATGCGATCATTAGGATACCAAGTACGTTAATGGCATAAATCTCTTCATTCAAAGGCTGCATGCAAGCAAGTAGGCAATATAAGATGATATACCAAGTACATTGCACATTACAGAAAGCAAGTAGGCAATACAAGATGATATATAAATGAGCGCTGCTATTTGGACCATATTGCTGACTACCTCTTTAATTAGTGTTTAAGGTGAGTCGTGCATGTATTGGAGAGATAATTAGTAAAGTGGTCGATAAATGTGGTACAAATATGTAGCAATATTGTTCTAGACTTAGATGGATGGATGGATGGACAGACAGACAGAGAGAGATAGATACCATATCTTTGGTGACGGTGCTCAAGGAGCCCAAGTCCACGACACCTTTGCAGCACATTATGAGAGCGAGTCCCAAAGCATCCATTAGAGGCATGTCACAGTAGAGTGCAGGTAGTAAACTGCCTCCAAATTTGGAGACGGTAGACACAACGAGGAGGACAAGACTAGGAATTGCAAATTTTCCTTTAAACTTGATGTCTTTGGGATTCATGAGCCACACATTGGAGGTTACAAACAGTGGAAGAAGAATATCGGACACCATGAAATCGTAGCACTTGACGAGAGCGGAGCCGAGCGGGGGTCCTTCCGGGACAGCTAAGCCCAAAACGAAAGGGCCGAAGAAAAGATATTGATTAAAATAGAAGGAAAATAGCGCTGAGCATAAGACCCCAATCAAGATGATAAGAAGGTAGCCGTTGTGAACAGGCTGGCCTTTGGGCGTCTGTCTGATGATCCAATACATAGCAGGGCGTGCCCCAAAGTAAACAACAAGGATATAACCGAGCATGGCAATCGTGTTGCGAAAAAATCCGCCCTCCTTTCCAGTGCTCATAGCCAGTTTGGTAAAAGTTCGAAGAGACAAACCCAAAATGTCAGACACAATAGACGAGGAGAGTGCTAAGCGGCCTAGTTCCGAAGTGAGGAGTTTGAGGTCCCCGAGGAGGCAGGCAATGACGGTAAATGAAGTCTGAGCGTTTGTGATTACGGCTAATGCAAGGGCCTGCAAGTCATTTTGCTCTAATTCCCAGTTAAGAAAAACACCTCGGGTTCCAAGAGTAAACAGACCGACGCATAAAGGCACTATCAAGGAGCCAGCCCCGGTGTACAAGGCCTTCCTCCCTGTTCTAAGTACAATGCCGATGTCCATTTTCACTCCCATCAGAAATAAAAACATGCAGTAACCCAACACCGTTAACGTCCCCATTACGTCCTGACTTACAATGTCGTACATGATTTTTTCGTATCCAGGCCATATGCTCCCCAACATCCCTGGACCGAGGATTATACCTGCCTGCACAAACGTATACACGTACACGTACGTACTATTAATTTAACAAAACCATGCATATTGATAATCATGACCTCTTCGAACAAATTGGACGCTCGTATGTATTATTACTTACAATTAATAGTTAATCAATTAGACGACGTACGTACGTACGTACGTGCAATAGAATATTGGATAATTATATATAAAATTAAATTAGAAGAAACTATTAACTATGTATAAAGTGATTAAGAAATTTGAAATGCTTAGAATTAAACTAAGAGAATAAATGATCAAACGGGAATGTAGGATGATGATACTTCTACTTACCAGCATCTGAGTGACAAAGACGGGGATTCCAAAGCACTTGAGAGCGAGATGAAGGAACTGGGTGAGGAAAAAAGCCAAAGCCATTTGCTCTTCGAGGACTGACAACGTAGCACTTGAGAGTTTTTTGACGCTCAATGGATGAGTTGCAGAATAGGGCGACTCATCATCTACCTTAGAATTTCTCCAATAACCGCTTGAATGAATGTTGGGAGGGAGCGAGATGCAAACCAGTGCCTGATGGTCCCGCGTTACGTTTAGCGCCAACAAATCTTCAAGCGACTTCATGATTCAGCAATATGTATCTTTCTTTCCCTCTCTATACACACAGAAACGAAAGTATGGTGGACAGATTGCAGAGAAAGATCAAATTATGCCTAAACCCTAATCTACGTACATATCAATTATGGAGATCGATCGAGCGAGATAGGGATGGATCGAATTGGTTCAAGGAATTAATTTATGAATATTTATGAATCAAATGATGGCATGGTAATTAACAAGCATCTATGGCACTCCAAGTAGTCATAATTTATATACAAAGGTTACATATTAAACGGTAGCACGCAGCAATGACGAATAACTGGCTAGTGTTGCCGCGTTGGTTTGTTTTCATCACTAGTTAGCCTTAATCTTGTTAATTGGTATAACATCCTCCGATATGTATGTAAGGCTGTAAGAATCATGAAGGATTTCAACAAATGATAACCACACATGGCTGTTGCAAGCAACAAGTGCTATATAGGTTTATATAAAAAGGAATAAAAAATAAAGAAATAACAAGAAGTGCCATGTACGTACGTCTACTCATATTATTTCAATTCTTGATAATATGGATTAATTAGTTATTCCTTTTATTAATATCTTGTAGCTCCTGAGGTTAATGTTTGTTATATACATTCTAGAATTTTACTTTTAAGAAAATATCTTCTAGACTCTAGGGATTTTTCTGTTTGTTTTAAAGAGTTAGGTCAGAAGCATCGACTTATTTGGTTGTTGGTTACTACGATTTGAAAATCTTACTATAGTGTGGTGCTTGCAACGAGAGAAATATGAGACCTGATTCTCTCTGATGAGTTACCTCTTATAATGTTTCGTTCTCTTATTTCTCCCTTCCTAATTTGCTAAAAATTATCCATGAACTTAAGAAAGTTCAAAATTATATAATTCTACACTAATAAGCGATAATATAACTTGATGATTTTCTTCGGAAAGAAAAAAAAAACCTTGATGATTTTCATTGATATCAATGTCATCCACAACGATGGAGAATAAATATTAGAGAGAGCTTCACGGAAATTATTGACACATTTCAATTCGGAATGTCCACGTGTACACTCACATGGTGACAAAACCATAATGTGTAGTGAACGTACAAAGTGCGAAGAAATGAAATTTGAATTAAATAAAACAAGAGTGTGCAAGTGAGCAGGTCGAAACCGTTATTATAGAATAACAGTGTTAGAGCATAAGTGTAGTAAAGTAGAAGCACTTGCATCCTCAAAAGAATAGTTATATTATTATAGAAGATAAAGTTTGCCAACTTTGACAGAAGTACATGTCAGCTAAAGCCAAGATTCCTCATTCTTAAAATCGTCAAAAACCATCCATTATTCCTTTGAACTATGTTATGACTTGATCCCTCCTCAACCGAGGGTATGTAGGCAACTTGAAATTTCAAAACTTCAAGTATAATCACATCATCAACAAAAACACAAACACTTTGAAAAATAAAGAGCAAATTCAAAATGTGAATACTTTATTTCTTTGAAGGAAGAATTTGGTGACAAGGCCTTATTACAAAATAAGCAAAAACAAAGAAGACTTTAAGTACAAAAAACAGAAGACACTACTTGAAAGCTATGTCCCTAAAACTACGACGACGGTTTTCAAGCAAGCCTTCCAAAGTCTTCAAAGTCTCCACATCGGTGGGAGACAAGGTGGGCATTTCCATGGCCGCGCCTTTCTCTTACTTTAGGCTTGAAATCTCTTCTTGATGCTGAGAAAGTGTAGCTTCTTGCTTCAAGAGAACAACTTGAAGTCGTGATGCTTCGATCTCCAACTGCTCTCGCTCTCGCTCCAACGCTTCTAGATGCACTTGGACGAAAGCCAAAGAAGTCCCTGTGACTTGATAACCTTCCAAAACAGCTTGCTGAGAAGACCAAACTTGGGCAATTGATAAATCTATTGCCGCAAGTTGTTGAGCCCTAACCTCTGGACTCAACTTCCTCAAGGAAATAGCATGCAAAGAAGAACACTCAGTTGAGGTAGCCATAAGTTTGGCAATCTTGACTCTCAAAATTTAGGAATCAATGTTAAGGTTGTCAGTTGCAAAAACAAGCTTAAATAAGTCTTCCATGAGCAACGCAAGGTCCTCCAATGGGCATTTCGCAATCCTGTTCTCAATATGCCTCTTGATATCTATAGCCGTGCAAAGGTTGATGCGATGGATGAGCTACTCAGTGCCACTAAGGTTTGGCCCTCTAAAAGAGATCTCAGAGCTAGCTAGCAAAGGTGTGGGATGCATGACAGGCTCTTGCATGCTTACATCTACATTCGACACCCTTAGGCCACTTGGCAGGTTTGGAACAAGCTCTGCACCAGGCGGATCCCCAATCTCCTCATCTATAGGTTGATTGCCTCCAAATAGCATTTTTGTATCAAATGAACAAAAGGGCCCAACCTAAAGAAGATAAAGAAAGATGTTAGAAACAAAAGCTAAACCAATGAAATCAGAAGAAATCATAAGAAAGAAGGAAATACATACATCTTTCTCAAGTGACACACGGCTATCAAACTAAGGAAGCCTAAACACTTTCTTTTTCTTATGATGAAAACTAACGTCGCTGCCATCCTGAGCACATTCAAGCAGTTGCTTGTTCAAAACTTGTTGATGCTGCCTCAAAACAAGTTCATCTTTGTGCGAGTCAACTTCGTCATCCGAATGTTGCGAAGACAAGCACGGGCTTTAAATAGCTAAAACCATAGGTCCACCTTGCAAAGGAGTTGCACTCGCACAATCAAAAGGTGCCAGCTACGTAGGAACCGCGAAACAATCCTCTCCCAGCATATCATGGCGTGAGTGAGAAGAATTGGTGCCTCTTGTCGTCCTTAAGTTTTAATGGTGTACCTTTGACCACTAACCTACGCAGGCACAGGTCACTGGATTGCTCTTGAACTCATTATTGGTCGGCAAGGTAATAGAATCATTTGTGCATGAACGGGTACAAGGCTCCCAATGCGTATATGTTGAACAAAACCAAATTGCCTACTAAAATGATGAAGGTTATACGGCTGAACAATACATTAGTCTCCTTGCCACAAAGAAACATACCCTAAACGGAAACTTGCAAGGTAAGACAAGTCTGAGAAACGATGGTATGAATCATCTACGAGGCCTTGCCGTGCCGAACCAACCCTTGCTAGATGGTCCATTCTCAAATTTTCACAGCTTTTAAACAACACTTGCGCTTACAAATCATCAAGGCTTTTTGCAGAAAGCACGCCAGAGTACTTTGTCATCAAAGGCCCTAGCTTGACTGAAGTTGATGACGAATGCCCTGGTAGCAGTAAAAAAAAGAGCACAACAGCAAGCAGAGTCAATGTGCAGGGCAAGGATTGTGTGACAAAAAACATACACCTAATTGTCTTATAAATAAGAGTCAATTGCCTCATAATGCTATAAGGAGAATACATACCAAATAGCAAAAGAAAAATCAAAAGAAGGAAGTACATTCCAACCAAAAGAAGGAAGCAAATTCCAAGCAAAAATGGCAAGGTGATTTCGGCCACAAAGGTTAAAGCCTCTATCTTTCAAGATTAAGCCTCTACGACCCTAGAAGAAAAATTTCAGTTTCTTTCCAGATCAAGCCTTTACGGCTCTTGAAGAAAAAATTCAGTTTCACTCAAGATCAAGTCTCTTCGGCCCTTGAAGACAATTTTCATTTCATTCAAGATCAAGCCTCTACGACCCTTGAAGAAATGTTTCATCCAAGAAATACGCCTCAATAGCCATTGACGAAATTCATCACTTCAATTCAATATCAAGCCTTTACGGCCCTTGAAGAAAAAAATTTCATTTCATTCAAGATCAAGCCTCAATGGCCCTTGAAGAAATGTTTCATTTAAGAAATACGCCTTTATGACCTTTGAAGAAGCAAACTAATTCAAGATCAAGTCTTGACAATCCTTGAGTTAGAACATTCATATTGCAAGACTTCAAAACACGTTTCCTACATGTGACAAGCATATGCCTGCAACGTAACTTGAAGTTGGGGCATTTGTAGACATGTAAATTTCGTTGCATGCAAATGATGCATCACAAATTGGCAAGAGGTCTAAATTACTGAAAAGAAAGCTCAAACATCTTCATAAAACAAGCAAGAATTGAAGATTGCTCACAAAATAGGCAACAAGCGCTACAGATTTCGGCCAAGCAAAGGAAAATGGCTGAAATTAAGACACCAAACATGCCTAAATTCTCCCATGGACGAATCAAGACACAAATCAAAGCCAAATCTATCCAAAGCCAAGCTTTGAGAAGTTTATAAATACAAGGTCCCAAGACAACAAAAGGGTCGACAATTTCTACATTGAAGGGTTGGCAATTTCTACATTGAAGGGCCGAAATTCTCACAAAAGGAAAGCCTCTACCAAATCTTTGAAGACTAATATGCTACCAAAGCTCTCTTTGAAGAACACATAATCAAAGCCAAAACTTTATTTCGACCAAAGCCGAAGCACCCTTGAAGAATCAACAAGCACTTGTGCTGATTCCTTCAAGACTTTGTTGCAAGCTCAAAACTTGTAAAGACGTTCGATTCAAGCTCAATACTTGAAGCAACCGTTCAATCGTTCTTCGAGATCAAGTCATCACAACCTTTGGATTAACAACCTATGCATCTACATGAAATTTGAAAACTGAATCAGAGGAAAGTTGTAAACAGAGATTGTAACCCTACAAATTCATTAAAACAAATCTACTTTGTACATGTGTTCTCGTTTCATTCGATACACAGTAGATTTATATTGATGAATTTGTAGGGTTACAATATCTTTTTACAACTTTCCTCTTATTTAGTCTTCAAATTTGATGTAGATGCATTAGTTGTTGATCCAATGGTCGTGATGAGTTAATCTCGGACAAACGATTAAACAATTACTTTAAGTTTTGAGCTTGAAACAATGTGTGGATAGTCTTCACCTTAGGTTTAAAGATGTGGCAAAGGTAGTGTTAATGTTGGCTTTTGTTGATACAAGGGTTTTGGTGACTTTATCTTGAATCAAAT